GGATTAATAATCGATAATAAAACGTGCCTACGTGAACCCTGTTTCCTTTCTAAAGAACGACGTATAAACTGCGACTCTAAGGCTGAACAGTTTGCCTATGTGTACGAGAAACAGTACGAACGAATAAACGGTGCATTTATTATGAATTGTTCCCCGTGAATTCCCATGAAAAGTGCGATCAATAAATTATCAATAAATCGTCTGGTTAAAAGTTACTCGGACTATCAATCATTCCTGATTATGTCTCTCATTATGATTTCACGAATTCGAAAGCTTTCTCGGATCCTTCAGCTCTCAAATTCTCTTCGACATTATCGCAATCGAGTGAATGTTTTTATCTTTTCATTATTTCTGAATTGCGGAGATTCGAGTTTTGCTCGATTCTTTAGTCGAAACGTCGGACGAACACGATCGAATTCGCGAACAGAGAAGAGAATATGAATTTCGTAGACGGCTCGGCCGGGTCAGCGACGGATTTCGCGATGTATCGACGGTGTCGACTATTTTCTGCGAGATGAACAGCGTTTTACTTCATTTTAACGGGCGGGAGACGCTTGTCTGCGGTCGAGTCGTCCTCGTAAAGAGGAAAGCTTACGAGCGACGGCCGCCTCTCGGCTTATTCCACGCTTATATTTCTGCACCGGCGTCCCATTCGCTAGGGCAGTAAACATGAGCGAAGAGGAAGCGAAAGAAGTCACCGGGAAGCGTCTTATCTCCGACGGAAGACGGTGGACGCAGGAAGAATGGATTTATACGAAGAAAATCTAAGCGTTACGAATACTTCAATTGTTCTCGCACTTTCTGCAGTCTACCGAGGAAGTTTTCATTCAGAGAAAGCTACTAAGTATCTCTGTCTTGTGTATCATTCGCGAATTAGCCTACATTAATCTCTTCTTTCGATTATTTCGAGATTCTACGGTTGCAAACGATTAGAAACTATTGCCTAATTTTCTTTTCCGTTTGATCCGTTATTGCGCGTGGAAGTGCTCGTCAATCTTTAGCAGAGAACGTAAATTTGCAGTAACTAATTTTACTTATTTCTTAGAAGAGCCTCCTTCCTTTTTAGCACTGATTACAGAAGCAAAGACGAGATCGTTCGTAAACGGGAAATGGACGTGCAGTAGCTGCAACCTCTCAATCACGATGATTGCATCTTCGTCCTATGCATCGGCTTATCTATTAATTCCTCTTCCAATAAGCAATTTCGCTTGGAACTCGACATTTAAGTAACTTTCTACGACGATTACGCAACGCAATCTACGAGCGGCTATTCAAAATTCACTGACGTTCTCTTGAAACACGCACATCATTGTTGGGAAATCTTCGAATAACTTATTCGACTTACAATAGAATTTTCCTCAATTGAACCGTCAGTATGTTTCTCAGTTAAAAATAACACGACCATATAGACACTCAACTTACGATAGCATTATCCTCTACATCTTCTATTTGGAGTCATCATTTTTACAGAATTGCAAATAACGTTTCAGCAATTACAAATCGAACGAAGCTAGCGAATCCCATCGACGTCTTTCCTCTCTGAAAGTGAATCCGAAGCTTAATGCTTCCAGCCTACTCACCGAGACAAAAATGGCGTCCCCGGCCGCGCAGAGATCCCAGCGGAGGGACAAGGACAACACCAGCAGGCTGGATTGCTAATAAAGGGACGTAGGACACTGCGAGAGCCTGGCCGGTGTAGACCGCAACTATCCATCCGTTCGTCATTTCCAGCGTGCTTTAAATATTAAATAGAGCTCGCTGCGCTCGTGAAAAGGATTATCCGTGCCCTACCGCGCCACGATTCCGGGAGACAAACCGTTTCCCTGTGGTTTGCTCCCATGCAGACGGCTCAGATAAAGATTTTTCTACTCTACATCGTCGAAAAGGATTTCGGCCGTTAATGAAGGCGACCCTCTTCTCATTCTTCCCTCCATTTCTTTCGTTATAATTCCCAATCCCTCGGGACGCGAACATTTTCCGAGGCGACTCGGCGTCAACGCTGCTTCGCGTAAAATCGGAAGCGATCATCGGGAACGAAAGCGAACGAACAGAAAACAAACCCGAAACGCAAATCGATGGGGATTTAGGAACCTGTTCAGGCAGAGACTTTATTTCATGGAAAATATCTGTGTATTTACAATGTTACATGACTATCATTCTCGAACATGCTCGCCGAAAGTCTCGGCTGCCTCCGCGCCTACCGAATCACAATCTCAGACGTCCAGTTCGATGGAACTTCCACGGAAGTTTGTTTTTACTGTCTTATTGATACTCCGCGAGATATTACCCTGCGCTCACTCGATTCACCAAGCGATTCTATCGAAGAATACCAAATCCTCGTGCCAACCCTTACAAATCAGTCACTGCCCGGATATTATCATCGTCAACCATCGAGCACACGAAGTCTCGTCTTTTCGTCAAGTCTCTCGAGAATACCTAGAACACCTCGTCAATATCACAATTAAACACTGGGTATAGTTTCCTCTATCATCCTACTTTCTATGAAAGTAGTCCGAAGCTCTCCAGTCCGAGGACCCGTTCAATAAGGTCTCCACACATCGTTCCTCTGCTCGTTTTCCTCTCCGAGCACGCCGATCTCCAGTCTGTTGCTGCTGATGGTGAGATTGCTACCGGCGATGGTAACCTGCTCGTCGCTCAGGTCGCCGTGCAGGTGTAAGTGGATCTGGTTCTGGTTCACGGTGCTGTATAGTTGCGGATAGAGGACCATGGGCGCCGGGCTGATGTAGTTTTGACTGGGATTGTTGTAGTAACCCTGGTAGTTCGGATTGTAGTTGTGGGAAGCGACGGGGACCGGCGTCGCTGGCCCGGGAGTCCAGGAGCCGTAGTGGTAGCCGGGACTGCCGCTTCCGGTTCCCCCGCTGGCGAACAGGTCCGGGTCGCTGGACTTGCTGGGCACCAGCGGCAGCGACGACGACGACGTCCCGTGGCCAGGGTACATTGACACGCAGTTAGGGGTGTAGGTGTCCTGCTGGTTCTCCGAGGGCAGCACTGCAAGATGGAGCAGAATCGAGATGGAATACAAATTCCTGGGATCAGGTTGACCAAATGGTGCTCCGATGGATAATTTCGAAGGATCTCTTCAGATTGTAGGAAGACGTTGGTTACTTTGGAATATCTGGAGGGCTGTGTTGCTCGTAGATGGAGTGTTACTTGAAGATTCGAGGATTTATGTAGGTTTCTGTTGGGTATTTGTCTCGATGGTTCTGGAGGTATTCGTGCGCAGGCGTATGAGAGGCGTTGAGATCAAGGATTATGAAAGTGCTGTTAATTAAGGTTATTGCACAGAATAGCGAGTTAATTGTCCCGCGATTATCGGGGATTAGAGCATTCCAAGCGATTCATCGAGGAAACGATTGTATCCAAGTGTCAATGAGAATACAGTGACGCGCGAATTTTAACGAAGTTTACGTTGACGAAGTTGTTGCGACTCGTTGTTATGTCACGCAGGGAAGGAAGAACGCGTTCCTGGAATGCCTTTTGCGTCATGGAATTGACAGATTTAATCCGGAGTGTTTTCCTTTATAGGAGAACCTGGGTTTCGTAACGTTTCAGCAGGAGTTTTATCGGTAAAGGACGCTTACCAGTGGGTAACGGCATCGGTTCCGTGGTCGGATGGTGAGACAGTGGTTCCCCGGGGTACGAGAACGCTCCGCCAGGAATGGGTGGCGAGAATGAACCGCCGCTGCTCACCGGAGGTGCTGGATAAGACGGTGCCGTCGACGGATAGGTCCACTCTGCTGTCCCTGTACTCGTGTCTGCGACAAAAATCGATGTTCGCTCGTCAGTCAAATAAGTACACTGGCAAATCACGCTACGCGACACTTAGAAAATGTGTATAAACGACCTATAGGTAGCTGTCTCTAACCTTCGACGCGTTAAATGCATCGTCTATAGTCACCGGGTGAGTCTAAAATTACATTTTCCTTGTTTTTATAACGGTCTACATGCTAATAACGCGAACAACGCAGGACGTGTTGAACTTTAAAGAATTTCCTTTCCTGTAGAATCTGTAGTGTTCGAGAACAGCGTGAAGAAATCAATTACGCAGCAAAGGTTAAGACACTACGAATCAAGATCGAGGTTCCCAGTGAGTAATGCCGTAAAGTAAATCGAAGTGACTCACTTCTTTGATGGGGCATCGAGACAGCTAGTATACTAATTACATCCTTTCCCTTTTATTCAACCTGCTCGTTCTCTCTACAAGTCAACGCTCTAGTTTTTGTTCAAGATACTTCGGATTCAGAACGATAACGTTAGCAATAGTTAATTTAGATTATTCGTTATTGCAGCTGATTAAATAAAGTATAGTAATTAATATCTATAATAAATATTCAACATTCTCAGCGCTAGCTCATCCGATTTCTCAGAACAGTTCGATTCCCCGATTCCCCAAAGTTCGCAATTAATTCCGGTTAAATGATTGCGCCCGCGCGGAACGGGCAACGAAATAATTAATAAATGTCGATTAACATCTCGTGAAATATTTATCGCGGTCCTCGCGACTTCCGTCGGACGTCCGATGAATTCCCAAGTGGCTTCAGCCGGGTACGACGCACGCGCCGCCGCGGCCCACGGCTCAAGTTAAGGAAACAACGAGGAAAACACATCGCGCGATAGGCTGAGTCATCGATGATTCGGCGAGACGTGTCCCGCACCGTTCCCCGCTGCACAACGGAGACGACGACGAATCAGAACGATTATGAAATACGCGTTCGCGCGTCGATCGCGGGAGATCCAGGGGAATAATGTTTCACGAAAAAGTCGCCGGCGACACACAATACTTCTTCTTTCCTTTATTCCCCTCGATGAGCCGTTTCACCTTTCATTCGGCATCTGTAACACTAGAGTTTGCTTCCCGTACCCAGACGTCCTTCGAGGATTTATTTAAAACCCCCTCCCGCTCGTTTTTTTTATCATTTTGCCGTGCGCACCTCCGGCGGACGCCATTTCTTGAAGAAAATTCGCGAAATGTTGGAATATTTCGTACTTTTAGTTACCATTGGTCGACTTTAATTTTTTGATCAATTTCAGTTACTGAGAATAGGGGAGTAACTGATTCGAATTGAATAGACATTGAAAATGTACATTACGGATAGTAATAAACAATCTACTCTACCTATCAATATTTTTACCCATCTCCCTGTGTCTATGTCGAGTAAAAATACTCGAATAAAGTGAAGGAATAGTGAAATGAAAATTCCAAGATCTACCTGCGCCTGTTTCGTTAATGAATTCAGATTGCCGACAGTTCGTGGGACCTGACACGATTTTCGTGGGAAAAGCGAATACTTTCGGACACACTTCTGATTCGCGGAAGGCTGGTTCAGTAATTTAACGGAGCAAAGTGTCACAGGGGAATGTAGAACGGGTTCCCCGTAAGAAAAAGGACAGCGAAGTTCAAAGAACCGCCTGTATCATCGTTGCAGTGTCTCATACGCGATGCCAGGCCTGTTTGACAGCGAGAACGGACCGTGGAAAGTCCGGACATTGGTGATTCTCGACGGAACGCTCGCCGGACGATGACAAAACCCGCTTCTTCAAGGGCGCGTTCGCCGTCCAGACGGTTCTGGGAAGACCTGCGCTACGGGGAAGTCTCGGGCGTTGAAATTTTACGACTACTCTTCGCCAAAAATTCAAAATCTCCCGGCTGGTCTCATTCCGTCGCGGATTCGCCGGAGAAAATAACAGAGCAGCGAGCTGACTTCGGACGAAACGAACGAAGTTCGCCGACGAATCTTGCGAGAGACTCGTCTGATCGTTAGCTGAATCTACTTACGAAGTAACGTGACTAATTACTGACTCATCTAATATATCAACCGTACTCTGTTACCTTCTTAACGAATAAAATTTCGATGATCACGACACGTTTTCCTTTAAATTCGTATTATTTTGCTCCTCTTTTTGATTGAACTTTTCGTAAAAATCACATAATGCGATTAGATGTTTCGTATGTTAACGTGTTCTCCAGTTTAGATACAAATTTCTGCTTCAGTCGGACAAGATGAAACCATTTCTGCGAACGGTGTGCCGATTTCCCGGTCGCGGACGCGTTTTTACGCGTGCCGAGGATCGAGAAACCTATATTTCACGAACGACTAATAGAAACCAACAGGTACGCCGGAGCCGGGTCAAGGCAGGGTACTCGAAGAGGGAATTGATCAGAAAACCGTCGATTTTAATAGCCGATAAATCTCGGGTTTCACCATTGACTCGGCTGCACGCTTCGTAATTCCCGATGGCTGCGAGGAGAGCCGCGACGCGCAAGGAAGCAGCCGGCGCGGCGGTTTTATCATTAACGGTTGCTAATTCCCTCGTAAATGTCCGGCGCATCTGCATTCGACTCTCTTCCGACATTTCCGCAACGAATTTCTTTGACTTACTGTACCTTCCTTCAACGGTGGAAGGTAATCCGAACCTTGCGCGGCAGGTTTCTGCAGGCTCTTGCCGGAGAATTCCGTTTTGTAAGGATTTCAACCGGTCGGTTTCATAATATACGGAACAGTCACACGATTCGCGTGTGCGCTTGAATGGAATCTTCGAAAAATCCACTGGAAACTAAAAGGACACGTTTACATTTGCAAACTATGGGAAGATTTTCTAATTTTGCCACGTCGAATCAACTGGTGATCGAGCGTCGGATTAATCGGTGTTTTTTTTATTTTAGATAGACTTTCCGGGAATAGTTATGTACAGCGTATCTAGTTGGAAGTGTTAGCGATAGAGCATTGTGACAACATATTATAAAATAGAAAAAACACCAATGAATCATTCGTCGCTCGGTCACCACTCGATTCGACGTGGCAAAATTAGAAAACCCATCTACCCACAGTTTGCGAATATACATCTAAAAATATAAATCGATCAGAGTCAGTGAAACCTTCTAGAAGAAGGACGCGAGAGTCTAGTTTCCAACTAATCAACCGTGAAAGGATCTAGGGCCGCGTGGCAGCGTCGAAGTTTCGAAAAGTGACACTGTGTCAGGTATCCTCGGGCCGGCAGGAGCGCGGCGCGGCGCAGCGCGGCGTGAGATAAGGTCGAGGTCGAGGGTCCACTGGCAAAACTGTCGTTACGCCTACCGGGCCGGGGAAGGAAGGAAGGTCGAGGCCGTTTCGGAATTCTCAAAGGGGACCGCCTCGGGGATGGGGGCGTGCGGGTGATTACCGAAAATGGCCGTGTATTTGCCGCAATTACAGGAACAACGGTAACAAAACAAAGGCACACCACCAGCATGGGTCGGTGTTCGGGCGACCATCTGTTGGATAATAGTCCGTTTCGAACCTCTTCAGGGAAGAGGGGGGAGCTGGTTCTATGAACTAGAAGCGGCAGGAAGAGAGGTGCCTCTCGCGAGAAGATACCCCGAGATCTTCGGCCGGGGATCATCCCTCGCTAGCTTCTCTCGCTAAAATATCGACGCGAACGACGGGCTATGTAGATCATCGAGTAAACTGTAGCAATTGGATTTTCAAATTCAAATCATCGTACCGAGGATTCCATTTATCCAAATAAAACAAGGATGTTCAAATTTATGCTTAGGCAAAAGATATTCCTTAGACGAGAGAAAAGATTCTCTTCTGCCACTTAGCAATTGTCAATTTTAGTTTTCCAAACTTGAAGAATCTAAAGCGATCCGATATATCTATCGATTCCTGAGAAATACCTAGGATCAGAGAGAAGAATCTTAATCACTAACACGTTCATTCACAGCATCGGGAACTTTTACCGTTCGATGATTGCTGCTAAGTAGGCGACGAACACTAAAGCAGCGATCATAATGGAAGGATAAATTGTATGTAGGATCAACGATCTATACTCCGATGTTTCTCATCGTGACTCAGCATTCATTGATCGACTCGGTGTCGTCACGGCGTTGGTCACCGTTCAACCGACATTACGGGGGATTTCTTTCAAGGCTCGCGGAGGTGTAACCTCGCCGCGTTGATCCTGACCGAAGGAACGCACGAGTCCTGACCAAAGGAACTCCGAGTTGTTTACTACTTCCTTCTTTCTCTCTCTCTCTCTCTCTCTCTCT